GGAAGAGAATAGGTGAGTGTGTAGTAGGTGTGTAGTAGATGGAGTAGGTGAGGAGTAGGTGGAGAGTAGGTGAAGTTTACAGTGTACATTAACACTATTAACCAACAAGATTCATATGATCTGCTCATCAAGAATAATATCACCATTGTACAGAAAATTTAGTATAACTTAAGTTTCTGAGAATATGTAATTATGGAAAACAGCAAAGAAGATTGCATAACAGCCAAAGCCTAACAAATAAACCAAAAATCTTGAGTAACTGGCTCCTTTGTACTTTATCACCTGTCATTGGACCCTCACTGAGAGAAAATCAGAGCGCTTTTAAAGAAGACAGACAGCAGAAAATGAGTCGTTTGCGATTGGTCCTCTTTGTAATGATCAAATTTTTTTTCCAATTTGAAGTGAATTGATGAAGGGGCACTACATTTGAAACTCGTTAAGACGTGCTAGGACCCTAATCTAGGGAATCTTCCTTCCGCCCACATTGTTCATATGATAAGGTAATGTGAGGAGAAACCCACAATAAAATTTCATTATGCTTATCATCGCCCAAGGAAATAAAATTTCATTATGAACCCTCAAACCCCTACTGTATTTAATTTGGCTTGGGTTAAAGAATAGGCTTCAAAATTACACCTCTAACAAGAAATTCTCATATTTTTCATTTGAACAATTTATCTGACCTGATATAAATACAAAATCTAGACATACACAAGAGACTTAGGGCAAAACTAAAACTGGATATCCTTGAATTTAATTTCATTATCGTAAAAATAATCAAAGAGTAATTTAGCCAGTTCTCACCCCCGTAACAAGAATCAAAGCCTTATTTTTGTGCACAACAACCATAAAACTTAGCTCCAAAGAAGCAAAATACAAAAAGGAGAATAGACTCCTCAGTAAGGAGGTTTGCACATTTGTTATCAACCTTGATAATATATTTAGTTAAACAATTTCAAAAACCGTCCAACAAACAGGGTTAATCACTTTACCAATGATTTTCTAGAGGGGTAAAGTGGAATTTTTAAACAGACAGACATATATGCACAAGGCTAAAAGAATGCACTGAACCTACGACTCACTCCTGGTTTTTACACTAATAAGACAAAAGTAAGACAAATGCAGCACCAAAAAATGAAAAGTAGAAGTTGTGAAGTGCTTCCTACTTAACTGCACAAACCACAAAATAGTACAGGTAGAAGGCTTGTTACCTTTCCATCATCAGTTACACAAGTGCCAAATGTGTGCTTTGGGTTGTCGGGATCTCTCCAACATAAAATATCTTCAGATTGGTTAGTACCCAAGAAATGATAGTACACCTCATGATTCAAGTTAGCATTGGTCTCAGTCCCAGCATCCAAATTTTCACTCTCCCTACAAACAAAAACAAAAAAAAACTTATCATCATTACCATGATACAGATTCACAATTGCCCCAATATTTTTTTATTTTGTGAAATCTTTTTTCAAAGGCGGAATTTTCCGGATATACTGCCATCATCGTTAATATTTGTTAAGCCAATTTCGACAATGTTATTCCTTTTTCCTTTCCTCTTAAACTCTTTTTCTCAGGCCAGAATTGCTGCAACTACATGTGATAATTTGGAAAACCAATTCAAAGAAGTATTCTGAATATCATTGGTAATATTTTTGTTAAAATATGTTAGTGCATTATATTGTTAGTGTATTCTATGTTGTTATTAGCTGTAAAGTGTGTCCTAGCTGATCATGATGTCTTTGCTTTCGGTCCAACCTCTGTACACTCTTCTATAAAGAAGAGTAAGTTTCTCCTTATGTAATACACAACAACAAGATATCAATCAATAATACAGTATTTTAAACATGGTATCAGAGCAGGTTTAGAACCTGATATTTTCGCTTCCCGGCGGGCGGCAACCTCACCTTAGCTGCCCGCCGGACCTCAACCTAGTCCGCTAAGATTTTTCTTGCACATACCTCGCCAAAGCAAAGCCTCCGTGCCCTCCGCAAGAAGCACAATCACATCCTCCAATTGGAAGCCTCCATCGCTCCAGAAAAATCCATCCCTACGGAACAAGCAGACTTTCTTCGCTCCAAACCCTCCGTCTCCGCTGCTATCGACGAAGCCTGTGCACACTAGGTTGCTAGACCACAGACTGCCGCTGGCGTGAGAAGATCACCGCTGGCGTGAGAAGATCTGCAACTCCATGCCCCTCCACATCGTCACCCTCTCCGAGCTCGCCGCCGTCATCTCGTCATCTACCTCCTCGGCTTATTCGGCATCGACTTCGTCCCGTCCCTCCTCACCGGCACCCCCTCCCCTGACTCTTGGGCAGACGCCGACCTCGTTATTCTCCAAGACGACCGCCGCACGACGACAAGTTCAAACCCTAGCCTCCTCTGCTCTTCTTCGCGAGCATCCGCAAATGGCACTGCAGGCATCTCGTCGTCCCCGAAGCGCTTCGTCTTTCCAGCTCCCCGCGCGCCAGGCAAGGTCCCGTTGTCCTCGCCTCACTCCTACGCAGCCTGCCCTGTCGGTGGACTCCACACCTGGCCCTCTTTTGATTTCACCATCTCTTTTCTCTCTCTCTCTCTCGGTTCGATGATAAAAGAGTGTTTGGCTAAATCATGATTTGTTAAAGCCCCAAGGGACGGACTCACAAACAGACCCACTATCTCTCTCTCTCTCTCTCTGGTATATTCCCTCTCTCTACTGGCCCTCGTTGAATCTGTTTGGCTAAATCATGATTTGTTAAAGCCCCAGGTCAGAGGTTCACAAACAGACCCACTATCTCTCTCTCTCTCTCTGGTATATTCCCTCTCTCTCTCTTTTTGTCCCCCACCATCATTGTTTCCATCACCCACTTTAATTCTATATTCCCTCTCTCTCTCTTCGAAGTTTCATATATATTATATATATATATACCAACCTTCAAAACCAGCCCACAGTTTACCTCAAAACCACTCATGACTTCATATTATACATATCAAATATATATTCTACGTGCACTACCCCCAACTTTATTTTGAAACATTCATATTTTTATTTTATTTTATTTTCTTTTCTTTTATTTTATTTTATTTTATTTTTTATTTTTTATTTTTTTTTTACACAAAAAAAAAAAACAAAAAAAAAAAGAAAGAAAAAGAAAAAGACGAAGGCAGCAGACGAACTGCACACCAAACTCATTTTATTTATATCGGGGCTCATCCCGATCACCATTTTACCCAAAAAAAAAAAAAAAAAAAAAAAAAAAAAAAAACAAAAAAAAAAACAAAAACCAACACCCATCGGAACAGTGGTATTTTTCTCTACTCTGCCGCCGGTCTCTTCTTCTTGCCTCCGTCCTGAGCGGCCCTTGACGGTGTTGCCTCCGTGTTTCCCGCTCCACTGGGCACAATCACTCCACCATACTCCTCCACTGCAGCATATGGCGGCCCTCCAAAACGGAACATCACGGTGGCCTTCCGCTTCAGTTCCTTGTTTTCCGCCTTAAGCACACTTATCTCTGCTCGCGCATCCTTATACATGCGTTGGAGCAGAGCCAGCTGGGAGTTTAAATGCTGCACCTCATTTGTCCTACTCTGCAGCCGGTTCGACAAGTTTGTGACCGCCGTCATGCTTTCCACACATGCCTTCAGAGTATACTGATTGGCCTCCACATCCGACTGCACTGCCATTCTTTGCTCCACCGACCGCATCGGAAAGTTCAACGGAGTAAACTCCGGGGCGCTTGGTTGAGTTTCCAGTGCCACCGCACCAGGTCTCTCTCTTGTTGACTCGTTGAGGTCGGGAAAGAGGGTGAGCAACCCGCGGGAAGACGATGACACCATTTTCTGGGCAACAGAGTGTTCCAGAATATTACAGCGTTTTTCTCTCAGAACTCTCTCAGCCACACGAAGGAGGGCAACAGAGTGTTACAGAATATTACAGAGTTTTTCTCTCAGAACTCTCTCAGCCACACGAAGGATTTTTTAGAGGTTTCTCTCAGTTTTTCTCTGCCTCAGCCTTTTTTTCAGCGAAGGGTTGGTTTCAGAGGTTTCAGGATGGTATGCCTCAGCCTCAGCCTCAGCCTCAGCCTTCGTCTTGGTTAAATAGCCGAGGCAGCCACGCGTATCGCGCGCCTCTTGCCGCCCGACAAACTGGCACGCCTTTTCATGGCACATCTTTTGACAAAGTGGATACGCCTTTTGATGGCACGCCTTTTGATGGCACGCCTTTTGACAAAATTGGGCACACCTTTTGAGGGTGCACCTTTTCAAGGGTCCAACAAGACTCTGTAAACTGTCCCGACATTGATTCCGGTTAGCTCCTTTATGGGTCCGACAAGACTCTGTAAACTGTCCCGACATTGATTCCGGTTAGTTTCTACAATGGTCCGACATGACCCCATAAACTGTCTTCTACATCGGTCTGACACCACCATACAGTGTCCTCTACAACGTTATGACACCCCATACAGTGTCTTCACCAACGGTCTGACACGACCATACAGTGTCTCCTATCCTTTTTTATTTTCTTGTTTTATTCCTCTCTCCAAACTCAAGTTGGTTAGTTTCTATCCTCCTTGAGTTTGCGGGGGGCTGTTAGAATTTACCTTCATCTCACCTACTCCACTACACCACTACCACCTCCACTTCACCTACACCACTACCACCTCCACTTCACCTACTACACCTATATCTCCTATATAAGGAGCCTCTCACATTTGTACTAATAACAACAATAAGATATCAATCAATAATACATCAGTTTATTTTTTACACACTTAATAATGCAGCATATGGTCAACATATGACCGACAAATTGATCATTGACATAACCAATGCTTAAGGTAATCATGCTAAATAATTGGTTGCAAAATAGAAGAAAGAAAGGGATCATAATGTATCATCAAATGGCCCAAACATGACAGTCAAATTAGGCTGGTTTGTCTTTTTGTTCTCTCTCTCTCTCTCTCTCTCTAGCATACTATGGTTGATATTAATGCCAATATATGTTTGTAAATTGAGATTGATTACTCAAAATTTTTAATCTTTCATACAGATGTTTCTCAGTGCATTAATAGATGTTGCGGGGCATGCTAGGAAGGTGGATGCTGCCTTTGAAATCCTACGAGAAGCCAGGAAGCAAGGGATACATATTGGAACAATATCATATAGCTCATTGATGGGAGCCTGTAGCAACGTATGTTCTATTAACTAATTTATAAATTTGTTATCATATATTTATTGGAAGATTGAATTTTTGTCCACCGTGTAAAAAATCTTGGCAGTGGAATGAAGCTTTTTGTACATGTTGTATTGACATATATAGTAGCAAAAAAATAAGAGGGACTTGCGTGTAGGTCTTAATAGGTGGACGTATTGTCCAATAGGTCCTATGATAATTAATAGTGTTTTTCATCAAACACTATTAAAAAAACGTTTCTAATTGTTAATTTTCAGTGGTAGTTTGAAAATTTTGTCACAAAAAATGTTACTAATTATAAGTTTTGGCGACAGTCTATAAAAATCGTCACAAAAAAAGATCACTAATTTTCAACTTTTAGCGACAATTTGAAAAATTCGTCACAGAAAACGTTACTAATTGTAAGTTTTAGTGACAATTTATAAAACTGTGACAAAAAAAAGTCACTAATTGTCAATTTTTAGCGGCATATGCAAAAAATCGTCACAAAAAATTATTTTTAGCAACAATTTTATTAGCACTTATTTTCACTAGGATTTAATGGGAATTGAGTCCTACTATTAGGATCTATTCGTAGTTTACCCAAAAAATTAGCTAAGAAATCAAGTAGGACATAAGTTAAAGGTTTATGATAATCTTTATCTGAAGTCAGATTCTAAGGTTTGGGCCCAGACTTTTTTCAATGTCAAGGTATTGACCCTTGGCATGTTTCCAAGTTAGATCCTCACAAGATGGCTGAGACATTTTGTCTAGCCTGTGACTTGCATGCATGGTACATATTTAGGTACACTTATTCTCAAAGACTGCTTTTGCAAGCACTTCACCTTCTTTAATTTCTTATGTTGTAGAACTTGCTATGAGAATGATGGAATTATGCAATCCATTTTCAGGCAAAAAACTGGCAGAAGGCGCTGGAACTATATGAGGATATTAAGTCCATTAAACTGAAACCAACAGTTTCAACAATGAATGCCTTGATTACTACCCTGTGTAAGTGTAATAGCTTTTGTTTAGCTTTCTTCATATAGCCTAATAAATTGGCATGAACTGGTATGAGTTTTGCTTGTAAGAATATATAGCGCATGACATGTAGTATGAAAACTATGGGAAGGGGAACGCAGAATAATTTCCCTCATTTAAGGAAGTTTGGTGTCTGTTTTTTATTTGGTTTATGAGATGTAAAGATGAACCATACAGGGTACTAAATTTAACATGAGGAACATTTAGAAAACTGATTTGAACCGCTGATAACGCAATAGCAGCTATTAATGAGTAAAGGTGGTCAAAGAAGAGGAGACAAAATAGTGTTCCTTGTGATTCATTTGAGTTGTAATTTGCATGATTTGGATTGGAAAAAGGTAGAAGTGGAGGCAACATAAGACAAAAAGGAATATTTGCATGATTTGTATTGAACTTGTTACTAGGGTGAGCGGCAGTAATGTGAATTAAGGTAGTTATGGATTAAGCAAAGACATGATGTGCATGTTTAATTTAAAGAATGAACCTAAATAGACTGCAATTGGCTTACAGGATTCATGCTAGCACTTCCTTTCTTGAGTATGTGTTGTTGGTTCTGGAATCTTGTCCTTAGTTTCATTTTTAATTTCTTACAGAACTATGTGTATTGGATGTAGAAAAATAGCTTTCATAATATTTATTGCTGGTCAATATGGTTAGCATCTAGGTATTTAACAACATGCAAACTTGTCATATTGTTCTATTGGAGAGCTCTTCCACCTGCAACAGCTTCAAAACTGCATCATAATATATGAGCTAAAATATATTGTTTAAAAATAGTTTGTTAGCTGATTTAACTGTGATGTGCATAGATTTTGAATTAATCTCAAGACACTTGAGAAGGATTTTCTCACAAATAATAGAAGCTGTATTGGGCAATATCATAAAAGTTGATTTTTAACTCTTTTGTCTAATTGAAAGCATTGATCTGTTTGATTGGAATCGCATTATTGCAAATTATTTGAGAAGGCAAATAACTTCACTGCAGGTGACGGGAATCAACTGCAGAAGGCTCTGGAGGTTTTTCCTGAAATGAAGAGGGTTGGCTTGCGCCCAAACACCATCACATACTCCATCCTATTAGTGGCAAGTGAAAAGTAATTGCTCTAGTTTTATTATCATCTGCGACTATTGTAGTTAACATTTGATATTTTTCCGCATGAATCTACAACTCTGCATTTTTTTCCTCTTTTAACTCCTGTGTAGGAAGGATGATGTGGATGTTGGCCTTATGCTCCGTTCTCAAGCCAAAAAGGATGGTGTCGCGCCTAACCTGGTTATGTCCAGGTGTCTGATAGGTAGGGTGTAAAATTTGATGTATATTATTGATTGATGTATTGATTGTTGATATTCTGTATATTACAAATGGTTCCTTATATAGATGTAGGTGTAGTGGATGGTGGTGGTAGGTGAGTGTAGTAGGTGAGTGTGTGGTAGGTGATGGTAAGTGTGTGGTAGGTGATGGTAAATTTTAGGGTTAATATATTTGCCTACCACTTATTTTTTGTCTTTCTTCTCACATGAATGGTAAATCTTCAGAAATTTCTACAAAAAAGGAGTTGCTTTGAGTGTTTTTGTCTTGGATTTTGAAATTAATCCCCTTTCCGTTTTCCCTCTTTTTACCATACACACACACACACACACACACACATATATTTTTTTTCCTTTTCCAAAAACATGTGTAGCATCATGTATTTGGATAAGCATTTTGTGATGCATTATGCTCTTTGCATTTGGGATGATGACTTCAATTTTTCATAATTACTGTTTATATTTGTTGGATAGTTTGATATATATTGTTGGGCCCATTTTCCAACAACTTAAGCTTTTGGGATAATTGGTGACTTAACATGATATCACAGCTTAGGTTGTGAGAGGTCTTGAATTCAAATCTTTTTGTTGGCATTTGGCATTCAATTCCCATTTGTTTCTGCTCAACTGTTTGGCTGTATGCTTCTCTTTTTGTTTGGTTCTTTGTTTGTCTCTCTGCGTGGAAGATGCCGATGGGGTTGCACTTGCGGGAGGGTGTTGGATAGCTTGATATATATATACATTGTTAGACCCATTTCCTACCATCTTAAGCTTTTGGGACAAACACTTAGTGAAGAATTTTTTTTGAGGGTTAAGGTTGAGCATCAAATACCAGTGGTTGTTATCTATCGTTTATTGAAAATTATGCATCACTTTAAGTTGATTGAGTCTACTCTTTTTGCATCATCCTGTGGAGAAATTTTTTTATCATGTCATCAACTCCAGCTATGTTAATACCATAGATAAATCAATGCCTGAATTCTTTTTCGCCCACCAATAATAGTTATTGAACTACTCCGAAATTGCATTCAATTCTATTTAGAATGTGATCTACCTCCTGAAATTCTTTTGGTAATGACACAAGGATAAAGCCTGTTGTTTCAGTGATGATATCCAGAGCCATGCATGTGTCGAATTTTCATTTATTTGTTTTCTTGAATGGGTTTGCATGACTGAAGGAAGGGAAAATTGTGTCATGCAACCCTGCCCTTTCTAAGGACATTGGAAATGCAACATTCAAGTTCCATACGATTCTTCTGGAATTTCATGTTTGTCTCATTTAAGGTTGACAAAAATAGCTTCCTTTTCATGGCTTGATCCCATACTTTTGTTTCTTCCAGCTCCATGGGAAGTGTTCATGGCCTTGTTTCTTTCCCATGTAAAGCCCATCAATGTTTTGAATGCAATCAATCTTTGTTTTTATGCCGGTTATGCGTTCTTTTCAGGAATCTGATTTAGTTATGCATTTAATATACTATGCTTGCAGCCATGTGCTTTCGGAGATTTGAGAAGGCTTGTATGCATGGTGAGCCTGTCTTGTCATTCAACTCAGGACGGCCACAAATTGATAGTAAATGGTAGGTGCTTCTTGTAACTATGGTAAGTTTCCATTAGTTTTTGTATTGGAGAAATTTAGGTAGTGTTTGGTAGAATTTTCTAAATATGATTTGAGAATAGAGTTGTATTTTGAGTTTGTGAGTGTTGGAATTATGATTTGAGTGTGGAAAATTTGTTTGGTTATGAGTTTTGAAAAGAGTTTTGAAGTGAGTTTGAAATGAATGATGTGACATATGATATTTAATTAAAAAACTTACAGCTCATCACCAAACACACAATCTAAAATCCTATTCAAAGCTCATAAAAAATTTAAAAAAAAAAAATTGGAAATAATTTTTTATTTAAAATATAAAAATAACAGGTGCAAAAAAAAAAAAAAAAAACGAACACTGTTCCGGTCAACTGGCCGGATGTCCGGGAGGTCAACCGGGTGAGCCAAATTTTCCCGCCTAGAAAGTAGTTTGCAAAAGTGAGTGTGGAATTATAATTTGAAAACTCAACAAATACCACTCAAATCAGTGGGTGGAAATGTGTTTGGAAAGTTTCTCCAAACACAGCCTTAAAGACTTCTTAAGTAAATCCTTCAGTAGCTTATCTTTTTCTTATCTTTATTATTAAATTGTTTATCTTTTAATCTGAAATGTGCGTGCACAAGGCATGCTTTAAAGGATCCTGAAACCAATTACATAAATGCTCTTACGTAAAATTTCATTACATCGTGATTTTGTACATAACTCTGGCTAAAAGGACGGGGACAAAAAAAAAAAGACGATGATGAAATAATACTTTGAATTCCTTGACAGAATCTCTTTAATTTCACTTAGAAATATGAAAGGTCCCAGTGTTGATCAGTTTGTCAAAATAAAATGTCCTATGTTTAACTTCTTGCTTGAAAACCATATAATTTATCCAATAATTTCTGTATGATGTTCTCATTATTTAGCAAGTCGGTGACAATATCCTTAATTGATCTGCAGGACATCTTTGGCCTTGATGGTCTACAGGGAAGCAATTATAGCTGGTGTTGTACCTACTATGGAAGTATTTTCACAACTCTTGGGTTGCTTGCAACTTCCTTGTGATGCTTCCTTGAGAGATAGACTAATTGAGAATCTGGGAGTAGATACTGATTCACCTAAAAGGTCAAACCTTTGTTCATTGGTTGAAGGATTTGGAGAATATGATCCTCGAGCTTTCTCATTATTGGAGGTTAGCAGACTACTAATCTTAATTATTTATTTTTTGAACTCTTTTTCATAAAATTAGCTAATAGATAACTGGATCCCAGGAAGCTGCTTCTCTTGGAATTGTACCATCTGTATCCTTCAACGAAAGTCCAATTGTTGTTGATGCAAGGAAATTACCAATTCATACTGCTGAGGTGACCTTTTCATTTTTAGTGTTATTCTTGGAAGTTCTAGTATTGCTTCATTTATCGTAAAAGTAACAGAATTTCTTGATGTCCACCACACAAGCATTTTGAAGCACCAAGCATTAAAATTTGGGTACTTCACACTCTCTTTCAACTAGTCCATCAATTTGGAACCATATTTAAATGACCAACCTTCTCTCAAAATTTTGAGGTTGTATACCCATATACACATTTTTAAATATATGCAAGTTTTATACTGACATTTGAAATCTCTAGCAACCAATATTCTTGTTCATTGTTGTTCCTTCTTTAATCACTTCTCTGATATCTGTAACATCATTCATTCAGCTGTGACATTCAGGACTCTCTCTCTCTCTCTCTCTCTCTCATGCAAAGACGATACATGTTGATGTTGATCATGATGCCACTTTTACTTACTCTTCTCAATAACTGGCCAGGTATACCTATTGACAGTTTTGAAGGGTCTCAAGCATCGGCTTGCTGCTGGTAACTCCATCTACACTAATTTTTCATTCCTAGAGTTAGACATAATCTTGGGCTATGTTCACCTTACATAATCTTATTTCTCTTCTCTCTCTCGTCATCAAAATTTCTTCTGTCTTATTGAGTTAGTTGATACCAAAAATATAAAATAAAAATTCAGAAATAATATAAACAAGTAATTAAAGATTTGGGTAAATTACACTGACACCCCTTGAGGTTTGGTCCAATTACATCCCACTTCCTGATGTTCTGGAAATTACATTCTCACCCCTATGGTTAATAGTCTCATTTCACAAACTCCTCTGCTTATATAAAAGGAAACGACTCCTAGTACATTGAAAAAAAAAAAAAAAAAAAAAAAAAAAAAAAAAAAAAAAAAAAAAAAAAAAAAACAGAGGAAGTAAAGCAAAGCAAGAAAAGAGAGAGTACATGAGTTCAATATCTTCATTCCGTCTAAATAATTACAATGACAGGGGGGGTTAGTGTAATTTTCCAAAAGTCAAGGGGTGATATGTATTAAACCCAAACCTCAAGGGGTGTAAGTGTAATTTATCCTAAAGATTTTTACTCTTGCGAGTCATATCACCGTTAACTTGCTAATGAAGAAAAATTATGGATGATACCTTGTGTTTTGTATGTATAGTTTGTTGACTTTCCACCTTTGGTTGTTCCTCCTAAAATTTTGTGCAGGTGCAAGGTTGCCTAATACAACCATATTACTGCCTATAGAGAAGACACAAATTCAATCTCCTATGGTAAAGAAAACAATTAACGTTGCAGGGAGGTGAGATGAGCTTCTTTGTAATGTACCTTAAATACTCCCTATTGTGAATGTTTTGATTTCGTATTATTTGAACTGAACATATTTCTGGAGATGTTAAGCAGTAGATTTCACAAGAATTTATATTTGAATGCTTTAGCTATGAGAAGAGCTTGCATAATATTGATTAACAATACAAGTTGGTATAGACAAAGGTAGGGAGTGAAGGGCATAGGAATTTCTCGGGTATTAAAACCCAGAAAGTGCCAATTCATGATATGCAGTTTCAAGCATATAACTATAGATTTGCTCAACACTAGGACCTAGGGTGTAACCCATCTGCGGGAAAATCAAAATAATGTAGTGAAGTCATTTTCACTGTCCTGAATTGGGGGCAACTTGGACTCATGTCATTCCAAGCTATTCTAATTTCTAACCTAGATAATCAAGGGCATAATTTGCCATTAGAGACAGAAAATAGGAAATGTGTGGACTTGGAGGATGAAATCGTAACAATTCCAATGAAATTTGAAGAATTGTTTCAGGAGGAATTTGAATACATTTGTAACTTGGATTAAAAATAATCATGATTATCAATTTTGATTAGCTTTTCCAGTAAATTACCCATTGGTGGATATTAGTGATATAATTAGTGTACAGGACTGCTTTTCCATGTTCAATGTAATTCTCATCAAATTTGTACATGCTATACTATCCACCAAGATGGCTGGTTCAAAGTCTTCAAATATAAATTTATGTACCCAATTTTCATATCGGCATTCTCTGTTATCAGAATCTTACGATTCGCGATTCGATTCGCGATTCGATACGCAATTTTTGCAAAATCGATACGAATCTATGAGTGAATCTATTTTGGAAGTGAATCTCTAGTGAATCGCACGATTCACAATCGATTCACGATTCACGATTCGATTCACTTTTTACGATTCATGCAATTTTTAAAATTATTGTGTTCGACATATTTTCGACTCATTTTTTCCATCTTTTTAGTGAAAATGACATAATACAACTTCTAATAACATTTAATACCAAAATAATCAACATTTATATATGATTTGTTATTATTTTAGTGATCATGGAGTTTTTTATAGGATCCAATCAGATTCAGTCAGACCTAACATATTTTTAACATTTCTTCTCATTTTTTCCCCTTCAAAAAATTGTAATATATCTTCTAAAGATGTTTAAGATTAAAGTTATACTATGAATTATCTATTATTATTTTATTAAATTGAATATTACATATGTGAGGTCAGTTATACCTTTTAAAATGTTTTAGGCTTTAAAATAAAATATCCTAAATAATCATTTCTTATTATTTGCTCACTCTTACTTAGAAAAGTATATATGCTTATTGTTCAAATATCAATATCATTGTTAACTATTGTTACTTTAGAAATTAATAGTTTGTCTATTTGGCTTTTATCTTTATTAAGAATGGTTGATAAAAAATATCTAAAAAATAAAAAAAAAAGGTAAGATTGTGATTTTACATAGGAATCTTTGTTAACTTCTTACCTATTAAATTACGTGATTATCTTTCAAAATAACAATTTTGTTGATTTAAGTCTAAATATTTTATATTCATAAGATATATTTAACATCTAAATGTGTAGATATATATTTTTAAGTAATTTAGAAAAAGTGACCGAATCTTTACGATTCGATTCGATTCGCGATTCGGTATGAGGCCATTTCGATTCACGATACGAATCTCGATTTGACAACTATGTCGGCATTTACATAGTGACAAATTGGAAGTATCTGTCCTCTCAAACGCATGCATTCAACTCAACCTAGGTTCATAAATTAGCATTTTCTTTCCATACAAAATCCTGTGAATATTTTTTACTAGTCCTTCACCCCCCCAATG